TGCAGAGATATTTTGAATTTGGTCAGGGATTTGAATCCCTGACAAATCTCACCGGCGACGGGCACTCGGGTGTAGAGGAAACATCCCTGACAATTCGCTAACAACATTTGTCAAGGATCCGAAATCCCTTACAATAGTTTTGTCAGGGCGCTGGAGTCGGGGATGAATTCTTTGACAAAATCCCTAACAAAATCAGTTGTTAGGAATTTTTTGAACTATGATCTCTAACAAAATCCTTGACTATTCGAGTGTTTTTTTGTAGTGGTACTGATGGATAGTCTACCTGGGGGTATATATCCGGAGGGTTATTGCTGGGAATAACTTAGAGAGAAGTCAGAGCAAGTAAATGTAGAGAGAGAGAGTGTGTATTATAAATGTGTAGCGTTTTCAGCGTGGTTACAAATGGGGAAATGGGGTGCTATTTATAGTAGCAATAAATGCCGGACAGGGACACGTGTCAAGCGCTCATTGGCCGAGGGGTCACCTCAACTGGTTGGCGCTGGCAGCCGCATGTGGCCGCATTTAATGCGGCTATTGGATGGGACGTCTGTGCAGGGTACGGTGATCTGTACGCATGTGAGGCGGATATCTTGTCGAGTGAGATGCCTTCGGCTATAGAGCAGTAGCTGAGGGCTCCTCCAACCGATGGCACCCTGGTGCCGAGGGCTCACGGTGCCGAGGGCTACTGTTTTCGCCGTTTTCTCCCAGTTTCTTCATTTGCTTGAGAAACCCGTTCTGTGAGAGTTTAGAGCCTTGGGCCAGGGGGGCGAAGGCACCCCTGGCGCGTAGTGCGGGCTGCTTGGTACTCTGGGCGCTGTGATTTGGGCTTGTTGGACCTTCTGGGCCTGTTGGGCCTTCGTTGGAGTAGTAGGAGTCTGTGGGCCGGGGGTTCCCGGGCCATATACTCCATCAGGTACTACGTACTAACTTTTTTAGTTAATGGTGTGTTTCATCAACTCTTTCGGATAATCGAGTGATCCAAACAAGAAACCAATTGATTTTGCAAGCAGCTCACCAAAAACCAGAACTGGTGTTGGTTTTAAAAAAAGGTTAACAAACATCATAGAAGTTGATTTGATTATGAATAAATCTATGCAGCAGATAAATTACAATGGAGTATAATAGCCTTTATAATCTCTTACTCACAAGTCACAAGCCAATACATGAAATATTGGTGCTTAATTCCAATAGGAATAAAACACACGGTTATAGGATAATCAAATAAGAGAATATTTTAAACACACTAGTATGATTAGGCTTGGATTCGGTTCGGGCCACCCGGCCCGGCCCGCTACTGTGCGGGCCCGGGATCGGGTGTAGACCCGAACCGGGGGAAAGGGCGGGGCGGGCTTGGTTCAGGCAAAAGTTGACCCGGGTCCGGGTCCAACGGTCAAAAATTAAAAAAAAATTGTTTGGGCCACAAATAGCCGTTGGGGGTGGGCTGGAGGGGGGGGGGGGGGGGGGGTCCGGGCGGTTTGAGGGGTGGGGGTAAAAAAACTATAAATACCCCTAATCTTAAACATTTTTCCATATCTGTTCTCCAACTCTTCCTAAATCCTACTCTGTACTCTCTAATTATCTTCATCTTCTCAAATTCTCTTATTCTCCAATATATTACGTAGTATATATCTACTTATATTATTTATCTACTTAGAAATACATATATTATAATTCATATTACTTATATTTCTTATCTACTTATATAGTTATATATTAATTATCTATTTATAAATACATATATTATATTACTTATATTTGTTATCTACTTAATCTCTACTTATTATCTACTTATATCTATTAAATACATACATATTACAATTTATATCTACTTAGTTAGAATTGTTAGAATTTTATTTCATTAAAGTTAGAATTGTTAGAATTTTATTTCATTAGTTCGAATTGTTTTTATAAATTAATATTTGTTACATTTTTTAGATGGAAGGTGGTAGATATTTGGTTGATATGGGTAACCTCAAACGCAACCGACCGAACGAGCTTGCGAGGAAGAAATCCCGCAAAGGTAAATCACACATCGGCTCTTCATCTCAAAGCCGAGATGATTTTGATACGGGTTACGCAAGGAGGGATGGGGATGCCATGACCGACGAACAACTTAAACAAGAATTGCACCGACATAATAGTCGGTTTTTCCAAGACCAGCCGAGGATCATTGACGAAGAAGAGCTCGAGGACGACGATGTGGAGGAAGTAATTACAGAGAGCCACGACGCCGACGAGCTTGCCTCATCCCAAACAGGTACGAAAAAAAGTAGATCTGAATTAATGCAAAATAATTTGGATAAGTGGAAGGACCCGAACACCGGGAATTAGAACGCAACTTGCAAGTGGTGCAAGAAAAATTATAGCTTGGGGATTTCCGACGGATACGGATCCGCCACAAGGCATCTTAAGGCCAAACACCCGGTGGAGTATGCAAAATTAGGCGGCGGAACGGGGAAGCAAACTCAAATATCGAGATTTGAAAATAACCAACAATCTTTTGATAATTTCTCATACAATGATGCACAAAATTTGAGAGGTATGACTAACTTACTTGTTGAAGAAAATTTGCCTTATTTGTTTTCTGAAAGTCTTGCTTTTTGTGATTATGCACAAACTTGTTTAAATCCTCAATATAGAGGTTATAGTCGCAAAACGGTTAAGAAAAAAATTTAAAGGCTTTATGATGCGGAAAAGGTAAGGTTACAAAATTATTTTGCAAACTTTGATAGGCGTGTTACTGTATGTTCTGACGTATGAGAGGATACTTATCATAATTTACATTATTTGGGTGTGACTGTACATTATATTGATAATGATTGGAATATGCATAAACGTATTCTTGCTTTCGTGAATTTAATGATCATCACACCGCTGAACATATTTATATTTTGATTGAACGTATTTTAATTGAGTATAATTTAATTGATAAGGTGTTTGCTATTGGTTTTGATAATGCTACTAATAATACTGCTGCTATTCCTAGATTGCGTGAATTGTGTGGTTCTACTTCTTTGATGAGTAGATTTTTTCATTAACGATGTGCATGTCATGTTATTAATTTATGTGTGCAAGATGGTCTAAAAGCGTTAGGAGCATCTTTGGAGGTAGTCAAGGGGGATTAGACGTATTTGGGGTAATGGTCAACTTAGAAAAAATGACATGATTATTTGATAGAAAGAGGTGAGAAATGTGTGGCTTTTCCTAAAGAATTGTCTATTCGTTGGAATAGTACTTATAAGTTAATTGCAGTTCTTCTTAGATATAAACAACATTTTCCTGCTTTTATGAAACAATATCATAACTATATTATAAACTCGGCTGAGATCGACACCTGCGAAAAAATTTGTAATGCTATGGTATATTTTAATAATGCAACTCAAACTTTTAGTCATGCTTATAAATCTATCTCAAACCAATTTATTCGTGAAGCTTTTAATCTCGCCGGTGCTTTATCAAATTTTGAGAATGTCGATTATGTGAGTTATATTGCTGGTTTTATTAAAGAAAAGTTTTTAAAATATTATTCACATATTCCGCATATTTATGGTATTGTATTTGTTCTCGATCCTCGTTTTAGACTTGGTTCTTTAGAAGAATGTTTGAATTATTATTATGCTGCTTTTTTGGTCCAATGCCAATGTATGACGAGAACTCAATTGATCCGAAAAAAGAATACAACAAGGTTAGTGATATATTTTATGCATTATTTAATGAGTTTCATGCACAATATGACAACGCGCCCCCTCCCCCGACACAAACCTCTTCATCTAAAGGAAAATCAATTTTGAAATATACATTTGCCAATCTTATTAAAAAACTAAAATAACACCCGCTGGCCGCTACTCAACAAAGCACAATTAATGAGATTTCTTTGTATTTAACATATGATGTTGATTTTGAAGAAGATGATGACTTTGACGTTCTAAACTGGTGGAAGGGAAAAGAAAGAATGTTCCCGATTTGAGCAAAGATGGCTAAGCAAGTGCTATCAATGACGGTTTCAACAGTTGCCATCGAACAAGAATTTAGTTCGACCAACAATGTCCTAACGCAATGTAGAACAAGGTTGAGCGCAGAATCTCTTAAGATGCTTATATGCTACCACGATTGGTTGAAAGCGACCTGTAGAGCTCAAAAAATTGACATCACCCATCCCAACACTTTATGGATAAATCTACAACCGAGAGCGACTTTACCTATTACGAAGATTCTGATTGATTAGTATTTCATGTTTTAATTTTACATTCAATTCTCAATTGTAATTTCATATTGTATTTTTTTCTTAATTGTCAAATGTAGTTCCTATTTCATTTCAAATAAATGCACTTGAAGTTTGTTTTTAATACTTGTATAAAAACTATAAAGTATAAATTATAAAAAATGGATTTAACCAGCCCGACCCAGTCCAGCAGGTGGCCCAGCCCGTGACCCGGGCGTATGGATGGACTCAGGCCGGGTGGCCTGACCCAGAACCGGCCCAGAACCGGTACTGTTCCGGCCCGGCCCGACCCGGAAGCCCGGTCTGTGACCGGTCCGGGTAGGCCCGACCCGTGGGTTTTCCGGTCCGGGCTCGGGACACCCAAAACAAGGCCCGACCCGGCCGAGCCCGGGCCCAGTTCGGGCCAAATTTGATTTTTTTTTATCAATTTATTTTTAATTTTCGGGTTGGGCCGGGTATTTTAGGCCTTTTGGGGTGGGAGGGGGGTTAATTAGGAAGAGGGGGGGAAATTGATAATGGGCCTGGCCTGGCCCGGCCCGGACCCAATGGTTACCCAGGCCGGTCCCAGGTCCACCACTCCTGAACCGCCGGCCCACCCGGGCCTAGGCCCGACTTGGACCCGAGTTCACCCCTACCCGGGCGGGTGGCCCGGACCAAACCGGAACCGCCTGTACCTCGGGCTAGTCCCGGGCCCACCATTCACAAACCGGCGGCCCGACCGGACCTAGGCCCGGTCGGAATCCATGCCTAAGTATGATTCTCTCAAGTCTCAACACACTTGTAGATTTTAACAAGACTCTTAATGGAGGATTTACCATTTCAAAAAAGCATTAAAAACATCACTTTCATTTGCAAGCAATTGTAACAGTTTGCACTATTTGCAAACAACCATCATTATTGCACTATAAAATGTTATAAAAGCACTTAGAACCCTCACTATGGGCATAATAGAAACCAAAGGGATCGCAACCAGAATCTTTATACCTCTAACTGCTCTAAGGCACTACACATTAGTCATTACTGGCTACTTCGGAATGGGAACTGGTCCGTATTGACCCTTCTAGATATTCAGCAACTTGAACCCAGTTTTATGCATGAAAAAGAAAGAGCAGCAAGCCCTGGTTGGAAAAAAAGTTTGCAATTTTAGAACCAATGCAAGATATCCTATCACAAAATTACCTCGCACAAGAACTAAACCATAAATAAAAATGTACTCACATAGAAAATCTCCCAATATAATATGTTTCTCTAGAAAAATTGGTAACAAGAGATAGTTTACAACTTCAAATTAGCTATCACCCTCTAAGTTCACGAAGCAGGTTCAACATGTCCTCGAGCCTTCCCAAAGACGGATCTGCATTTTAAGTTCCACAAAAAAAACAAGCTTATAGTTCCAGTGAAGTAAGAAAGTAATGTAGGTTCAAAACGTACCACATACAAAGCATATCTCTCGTTTACCTCCTCTTAAAACGGTTGTTTGGTAATTTAACATAAATTTTCCAGAGCTAAAAAAAAGTTGGTTGTTTGAATTTCATTATCACTCGATTAATAACAAAATTAATGTCTTTTTAGGGGAGGCCTTATTTGGATTTGGTTCATCCAAATAAGGCATCCCCCAAAAAAGACACCATATATACATAGACATGAAACATGTACAAATTTAGTTAAAACATTTTGCTTTGAATGTTTAACCACAATACAACATATACATTTTTAGTTAAAACATTTTGCTTCAAATGTTTAACCACAAGACACCATATACATACAAACATTGACTAGTATAAGAAGCGTGTTTTAACATGTCAAATACAAAACCACAAACAAACTGTTGAAAAGATAACCAACAGTGAAAATATTAGTGTAGATTGAACAACCAACTTACCCGCATGTTGAACACTGAGGCTGATGCTTGCAGAAAATGGACAAACAAACAGAGCATATGTAACCCATGTCAATCGTGTTCTTGTGGCAAAAACACCTGAATTTGGTTTGGTAATTTTGACTAATAAATTACAAGCTTTAATTAAAGAAATCAACTAAAGAAATTGCTAGAAATAATTTACAAGCTTGAACTAAAAAGCTAGTGGATGGGAATTAGAATTAGATAGCTTGAAGAAATGAATGTGGAAAAATATGTAATCTACTTCATGTTTTATTTTTTTCTATTTACAAACTCAGATGACTACACAAATACCATAATATGGCTGAAAGCCTTCATGCCATTTCATGTACCATTTTTTTATTGAAATTCATGTTGTTAGCAACTTACGAAGCACGAAAGTCAACCCCCATAGGCCGGGGAAGATGTAGAAAGGCACGAGAATGCAAATCAGTAGCAAAAACTGTCTGCATGTTTCAAACAAGCTAGTAATTAGACTTAAAAAAGAGTAATGCCTGAAAACATAACAAGTGGACACTCTGAGGAGACATTCTAGTGGCACATTGATGGCGTGATGAACACATGTCCAACTTTCATCATCCATTTAGTGTGTTGCATAGCAATGTTACCCTTGAAAGTCAAAATTTGATGTGTCCCAAACATACTCTTTCAAAAATAATTTTACAAAAACTGCATAATATTAAGGAAACTTATAAAACAACTCGGACATTCTTACTAACTTGTAAATCAAGCGTTTTTTATTTCAAAAACTCATTATAAGAGGAATTGACATGAGCGAATGCAAAACATTGACGAAAAAAAATAAGGAATTCGGGCAAGCTGCCCAACACAACGTCATTACGATAATAAGGTTTGTGGAGAGTCACAAAAACACCGACATGAGATGAGAAAATTAAAAACAATAATAGACATTCGGGAACCAAGAAGAGAACTTTACCGAAAGGTATTGAAATAGTCCATCCAATAATTGGGGCTTCAAATATACACCATTAGTTATGTATGAAGCCTGTTAGTATTAACCAATATGTATCATCATGACTAGTGTGGCCACCAATTAAATTGCACCAGAAGATGATGTTACATTAATGAGTGTGTCAATCTATATATAGAGTAAACTTCATATCAGGCCGCAGGAATCCCGTCAGACCAACTTCGGTTTTGGCAAAAAATGAAGTTTATAATCCAATTTTTTTGCTCATTAGTATCAATTAGTAGTTTCAAACATTAGATCATAAAAATTTTAAAATTTTCTGAGCATAAATTTGATTTTTATGATGAATTAATTAATCAATATTAATCATTAGGTAAATGTTAGAGGTGAAAAAGTGAGCTTGATGGGTCTACATTTCAACCAAATTAAGATCAATGGTTGAAACTTGAAACTAATAATTGATACTAATGAACAAAAAAATAGATCCTAAACTTCACTTTTGACCAAAAATCGAAGTTGGTCTGATAGATTCTCATCAGGCCGGCCTGATATGAAAAGCTACTCATATAGGGGCAGGTAAGAAGTAGTGCTTCATCGGAAAGTGAGAATAAATCTTGGCTTTTAATCTCTTGAAAATGGATGGATTGCATGAATTTTTTATCAAATGACAGAGGCAAAATGCAAATGTTTATAATACAAAGTGGATAGTTTAATAAAAGTGCACTCATGAATGCTAAAAAAGATTATCATATTTTCAAACTTAAGCATATTTCATTTAATATTCTTATGCACTTTTGTGCACTCATGAATACCAAGATTAGTTCTTATTTATTTTATTTTATACATGTATATTATGATATACTTTTGTTACAATATACTCCCTCTGTCCCGTAAAGAAGTTCCCATTCGGTTTACGATGTTTGACTGACGATAAAGTAACTCGATCCTTGTTCACACTCAGATTATTTTTAGTAAATAAAATTTACATATTCAGAAACTACATTAAAACTGCTACAAAGCCTGATCAAGAAAATTTAAATTTGATAAAAAAATTATATATAAAGTAAAAGATTAGGAGTGATTTAAGTTGACTAATGATTAGTGAATGGGAACTTCATTTCGGGACGGAGGTAGTATTCATTAAAATTCCTTTGTAATTACTAAAATGTCACTACGATTTTTACTTAAAATCATATCTCCTCCACCCATTTGTTCACATCAATGACCAAGATTAGTTCTTATTTTTTTCACCTAGAAAGCACTTTTTATTTGAACCAAATTACACACCCGACACATATATTTACAAAATTATATATAGGGAAGAGTTCAAATGCAAAGAGACTTTCACATGCAAAGTGAGAATAAATCTTGTGCATTCAATTCAGGATCTAATGGCTCAAAATAAGCTAACAATGCACTAGATTTGATAAAAAACGCGGTGGCAATTTCGTATATAAATTAAAGTTTTTTGTCACCGCGAAAAAGTGTAACAATTATATGCAATAGTGCATCGCATTGAGCGAAAAGTGCAACCGTTCGCACGAGAACACCACTTTTTATTTGATCTCTTCCCTATACATATATAGGAAAAAGATATTGTCCATCCGGATGGACAGGAGGCACTGTCCGGCCGCCGTCATTTGGGGCGGTTCGCAGTGGAAGTTTTTGATGAATTTTTTTATAATGTTCCTCATCAAGTCTAGTTTATCCACAAAAGTTTCAACTAAAAATTCAATCGGGATGACAATCAAAATACATTTTTGAAAATAAGTGCGTTTTATATGTATATTTCTACGCAGTTATCTTGGAAAAATTATTTGACTGCCTTCCCGATCGAATTTTTAGCTGACTTTTTTTTTAGATAAACTAGACTATGAGGAACATGCTCAAAAAATTCCACCGAGAACCGCTCCAAACGACGGAGGTCGTACGGAGGGTCCTGTCCCTCCGTCTGGACAGGACCGCCCCCAAAAAATCCTATATATATATATATGTATAGGGGATGGTTCAAATACAAAGAGGACTTCCCATGCAAAGTGAGAATGTATCTTGTGCATCATTTTCACATCTAATGGCTTAAAATGAGCCAAAAAAGCATTGAATTCGATCAAAAACGCAGTGGCAATTTCGTAAATAAACCCAAGTTTTTTGCCACCGCGAAAAAGTGCAACAGAAGCATGTAAAAGTGCAACGCGGTTAGGAAAAAGTGCAACCGTTCGCACTTTGCACGGGAGCACCTCTTTTTATTTGAACTCTTTCCTATATGCATGTGTGTGTATCCAAGTATTAGTGTTCTGGTATTCATTCTTGTGAAGACAAATACTAGTCTTCACTTCATCTATATATAATACCTGCTGCAAGAAAGCGGAATGCTGGGTCCCTATGGCACATGAATCAATGGGTACCTGCAAGAGAGAGCTTTTTCATATCATGTTACTGAAAGTAGATTTTGCCCCCGCCCCACTGCCCACCCCCACCACCAGTCCATTACCACCACAAGAGACCTCGCTTCACTTGGAAGTACCAGTATCCCAATTAAATTAATTATAATTTATTTCAAATTAGTTTCAATTTAGTTTCACGAAAATTCAACATACCAAATACCAAATGGCAAGCTCAAAATAAGCTTCTTTACACAGTTCACATTTACTTTTTACATTTTTGTTAAAAAACCATTTAAATATTAAGCGTTACATTTGTCTTTAAGTCCCATTACCCATACACACATATAGTGATATACACATACCTGATACATATATACAGCATGTGTGTGTACAGGGAGATTTTTTTAGTTAAATTATGTGTACATATATAGGAGCACCCCCTCAAGAATGCTTCTTGTTTTCCACTGCCTACTCTATCTCTACTTTTCTCTCTTCTAATTAACTACCAATTGAAGATTATATTCTACCTACATCCTGATTAAGTGTGCAACCTACTATGAACTTCAAATCCGGACAAGAGTACCGAAGAACAAACCCCTTCATAAAATCTCTTTAAGCTTTAAGGTAATGAAAGAGAAACCAAGTTACCATGGAGCGCTGAGCAGAGAATATTGAGTTCATGATGGCCACATATCTGGCAGAGATAAAAACATTTCAAGTATAAAAGCAAGAATAAGGCTAGTGTTTACTCGACAAAATACCACAAGACACATACTGTCCTGGCCCATCTGGGGATCCATGGATGCATAGTATCTGCCGTCAATGAAGCTTGCAGTTCAGAAGCACTAAAAATTATAATATACAATTGAAAAAGGATAGGAAAAAACAACAGAAGAAGAACCTAACATGAAGGGGCCTTTGTCATTATGGTTATTAAGAATGAAAAACTGAATTTCGAACTGATAACTGAAGTCAGTTTTGCTCATGATATGTTCAGTTACTTTCGGTCAGGTTTTGTGGGTTTTGGGTCTGTCCAGGTTTAGCTGGTTTATGAATCGGTTTCACTTTGGGATTCTTTTGTTCAATCTTACTATGTATACCTTTTCATCATAGGGAAATAACTGCACTATGCATAACCATATTTGTGGACAAAGTGATAAGACAACATGAGAGTAAATTACCCAGCTTTCATATGTATGAAACTACAAATAATATATACATAGGCAACATAAATAAGGCTAGTTGCATAAGGTTTGTGTTTAAAATGTATGTGGGGACACTGTTTTATACCACTACTATTTATTAAGCTGCAGAAGCTAGTAAAAATAAAACACATAAAATTGTAGGGCATGTAATAAATTTGCAACTAGTAGTCCATAGCACAGGTTAATGTAATAGGTGGTTGGTCGGGTCGATATTAAAAAGTGCAAAAAAAAGGAAATCGAAAAATAAGATTTGTTGTCTTGATCGAGTCCTTTTCTGTTGGTCTTTAACAGTTTTGGTTAATTTTGGTCAATTTTAAAGCCTAAACCATTAACTACAAACCAAAGTACTCATGCTTATCTCAGTTTTGGCCGGTATAAGTTGCTTCAGTTTCAATTAATTTTGGTGTGACAGGATTTTTTCAGCTCTATGATGCAACTAAAAATCCTCTCCCTCAAGTTCATTTTCATTCTTTTGGCTTAGTACTTAGTAGTGGTTGTCTGTGGGTAGATACTTCACTAAAGATTAAACAAGAAAGACCTTTCATAAAGGGATACATCTGCACCATTTCAGCATACCAAAAGAGCCTTGCACATTACTTTAATTTGGCCAGAAATCAGCGTTTAAGTCAATGAAAACTCACCCTAGGCTGAGGATGGAGTGGCCCTGCACGAAGCACCCTTTGTATATCTACACAACACTGCTCAAGTCCAACAACTAAAAAATACATTCTGGATAGGAGGGCATGCTTGAAAGTGCAATGTAGAGAACAAATAGTAAAAAATTATCATTTCTCACATCAAGGACTTTGCACCATTTAAATATTAATAAAAAACAGATAAACGTTTATTGAAGTACTTAGTGAGTACGCAATAAGAGCATAAGATTATTACAATACACACATGTGTGCATCTTTTATGGAAACAAAGTTATAATAACATTTGGTGAGTAAGCATTAACTGCAAAAGATTAATACAATATGTGTGCAAGTTAAAAATCATTGAATTTAATAATGGATACAACAGAGAGCCATTGAAAGTGATCCAGAGAGAAGCGAAGACCCAACCACATCAACTGAGTCTTCCTGACTCAATGACTCATCTTTTTCCACAAACTCTTCCAATTTCTCCAACATGCATTCTGCCCTTTGGTTTGAGGGGTCAGAGGAATCAAATACATAGTCACAGGAATTGTACCCAGTGGCTATGACTACTACTTGATTCAGCTTGTTCAGTAATAGTATTGAATTCAAAAATGGGATAACCTACAAAAGAATTCCGCAAAAGTAAAAAAGGGAAAAAAATACTTATATATGTGAAAATGTATTTGCAAAAGGAATGATTTTAAACTTTCAATGTGATATGGTTACATGAGATAGGAGCTTTGAAAAAGTAAAAGAGCCACTATTCTTCATCGAGCTCCAGAAGAACGGGTTGGTGTCAATCAGCACCATCACTAAGCTTACATCATCTGGCAATTTCAAAGAATTGACAAGATATCATTCAAAAAAAAGTATATTTGGGTATTAGCATTCTTATAGCTAAAAGCACAATAGAATATTAAGACAATTTTTCTATGAGAAGGTCAGTCCCTATGATGGTGTGACGCATCACTATAAGACTACGAGCCCATTTTGTAATCCATATTTTCAGCTTATAAGCCATACCAACTAACTTTTTTACCAAATGCGTAAATTTTGATTTCATGTGCTGAATTGTATATAATCAAAATAAATAAGGTTGACCTTACTTTTCTAACTGAATTGACCGAAGCTATTGTAAAAGACCATTTTATCTATTTTCATACAAAATGCGTAGTAAATTTTAGCTATAATTATTCCAAAATTCAACAAATTCAGCCGCTTCGGCTAGAATTTCATCAATTTCAGCCAATTCAGCCAATTCCAGTGCTACCAAACGGGCCCTAAGAGCTTTTACAAGTTATGACTTGTCTTATATATGCCTAATACTTATTACCAATATTGTCTAGAGTAATTGAATTAACTCGCTTGCCAGTTCACTTTTTAAATGAATTTTACTTTATAGTTAATACACAAAAAATGCTCTCAAAATACTCTAATTTCAGTCCATAGTTTTTTAGTCAAGATGGATAACTCTCGTGAACTGAGCTCTGTCGACCGCCTTCTAAGGTTTCGATACTTGCATTGCATGTGTGAAAAAAAGAGGGAATATACAAGAAAACCTGTGTATAGCTTTGATGATACTGGGAAATCAATAATAAATTACAATTACATAATTCCTAGTTCAAATTACAACTAAACCTGTCTTGAAAAGTAATTTTTCAAAGCAAACAGTATTATGTATTAAATTATGCATTGTTTGGGCCCTTCACCCTTGCCAAGATAATGGAGTGAATAGTAATCCATGAAAAGAAACAATTCATTCCTCAATGAGTCATTTGGCATCTCCAATGCACCTCCCCAACCTGTAGTTATGGGCCTATGCCTCCAGTACCATCAAAGCTATATACAGGTCTCCTTGTATATCATTTTTCACACACCCAATGCAAGTATAAAAAACTATACAAAGGTACTGTCCATTCTAAGAGCCCAAATTGAAACTGGATTTTATAGGCCGACAGTAGCAGGCTATCAGCGGGAACCGATTCAACCCAAGTATGGTTCAAGTTCTACATATATGCTCCCGGAACAGCCAGTTCTGGTCCGGTCCTGGTTCAACATTTTTTATATGTTATGAATGTTGAATATATTATTTAATTATTAATAATAAAATGTACGGAGTAATATTTATTTTAATATAACATATATGAGGTTTCAGTTGAATTATTAAAATATTCATAGTATACTTTACATATTCAGGGTATATAATAAATATACTTATAATTATGTATATTAAAAATATTAATATGTGTGTGTCATGTTTATATATACATATATCATATGTTTTCATAACAATAAAGCTAAAACAGTTAAACTTAAATTTAATGACTCGTCTGCTACATGATAAGAGGGAAGCTATAATACTGATAGAGATTAGAGATATTCTAGGCAGTTAGGCACTAGTCAGTAAAAATAAGTTAAATTGGACCAAGTGACCAAGGTTCAAAACCCGCAAGGTCGTGTGGAGATTACAGAACCTGAAATAAGGCTGGACGTCTTTTGCGCAAGTTTATAAGACGTACGGCGGCTTTGCTGACGGTCGGGGTGGGGGCCTTGGGGTTGGGCATTCAACCTTTTGGACCAAGTTAAAAATTTAAATTTAAAAGCTGCTGCTTAAAGCAACATCCCATCAACAATTAATCGGAAAAGATGCAAAACAGACTGCAGCAGTTAATCAAAAACTAAGCAAGGAGAAGAACAAAGGCGAGATCTTTGAAACACGAAATCCGAAAGGCCCAAATCTTATTTCTTAAATTCTAACAGCGAATTGTATTACATATACGAATGGTAATAATGAACATGAACATCTTTAGAATGAACCAATGCATTAGAGGGAGCGGTTAACCGTCATTTCGGCGTTTAAAGGAATAACGGTCCATCTGAAAGTCAAAGTTTTTGGTTCCGGGATGGACATCAGCAGCGAACATCGTCTGAGTGTCGACGTGTCGTCCTCCTTTGCTGAAATCACTCTAGGATGCTGCTGCGCCGCCGTAGCCTTCCTGCTTCTTTGGTTTAGGATTTTGGAGTTAGAAATAATGGAAAATTTAAAGGAAATAAGGACCCGTTTAACATTAGAAATATTTTGAGAGAATTCTCTAAATAGGAGTAAAAAAGTTTTGAAATTCCAAAAACGGAGTTTCATGTTTTTATTCCTTGAATACGAGTAAATTTCTGTCAAGTTTGGTATTACTAGGCTTTATAACATGACATTTTTTTCCAAACTTTGCATATTACTCCTATTCATGGAATAAAAAACATGATACTCTTGTTTTGGAATTTCAAAACGTTTTTGCTCCTATTTGAAAACATTTTCTGTTTTCAAATCTCCCGTTTTTTATTTTCCGTTTTCCAATTTTTTGTTTTCCAAATCAGAAAACATGTTTATCAGAAAAATTTCCAATTCATTTTTACCAAAAAATGTTGACTTAATATTTGGAAAAGAAATCCACAAAATCGGGCCATATGATATCATCCTTTTCTTCTTGAGTTAAACTCATCTACAACAAAATTGTAGCAAAATTGGCTATGGAAATGGCATTGCATATTATTCACTTATCATTTGAATACGAGATAAGGGTCAGATAGGGCATCGAACTTGGGAAAAAATGTCAAATAAGGCCATATTTAGGATGCTATGTACGGCCGACGCCATTTGGGGCGGTTCCCGGTGGAATTTTTTGATGAATTTTTTTGAGAATCTTATTCATTAAATCTAGTTTACTTATATCAAATTTGAACTAAAACTTCAATTGGGAAGGCATACAAATGAATTCTTGAAGATAACTCCGCAGTTATCTTCAAGAATTCATTTGAATGCCTTTCCGATTGAAGTTTTAGTTCAAATTTGATATGAGTAAACTAGACTTGATGAATAAGATTCTCAAAAAAAATCATCAAAAAATTCCACCGGGAACCGCCCCAAATGGCGTCGGCCGGACAGAGCATCCTAAATATAGCCTTATTTGAAAGTTTTTTTCAAGTTTGAGGCCCTATCTGACCCTTATCCCTTTGAATTCAGGCAGACTCATCTTTAAAAATAAATAAATAAAGTGGTGATTGTAGTTATATTTTTGTATTATAATAAAGAGAGAACTCTCAAATAGGTCATCGTACTTTAACAATATCTCAATTAAGCTCTCGCACTTATTAATCACTCAACGAGGTCCATGAACTAACCACAAATACGCAATCAGGCTTTTTAGCCGGTGGGATGCCGGTTTGCCTGTTACCCGCTGACCTGGACGCCCATGTGTCCCTCCCTTACCCGGACTTTTAAATGATGTGGCTAATCCACTTATAAACTAACTAACTAAAAGCCTAAATTTTAAAACTTAAAAAAAAAAAAACCGAAATTCCCTCTTTCCCCTCTCCTTCGTTCGAGCTTTTATCTGGTTCGCAATTCGCAAGTATGTCATCTTCATCGTCAGCAACGGTAGTCAAAGAACGAAGTCGCACTATGGACTACGAGCCTGCTGTTTATTGTTGGTCTGGATTGAAAGCTCCTCTATGCATTGGACGAGAGAGTGGGAGAACTTCCCATGGATGTCAAAAGTGGAAGGTAAGTGTATAATTTGGGTGTGTGGTTTTGATTGACACTGTTTTTTCATGTTCATTGCTTGTAAATGTGATATAATTCAGGTAGGGAGCTGTGTTTTTTTTTATGGAAGGAAGACTTAGGAATCAAAGAAATTACTCCTACACAGAAGATGGAAATTGTGAGGGCTGAAGACAAGAGTGAAACCATAGAGGAATTGAAGAAATTGGTTGAAGCACTGTCGAGGCAGATGTCACATGTTCAGACTGAGCTTGGGTCTGTGAAAACTGTGATTGACAATGAAGCATAGGTTAACAAAAAGAGTAGGAAGTTCTATGGTTTAGCTATGAGTGTACAGTTGTACTTCTGGGTTTAGTATGGAGTATGTATTTGAGGATGTAACCTTACTTTCTGAGTTATGGATGAAAACTGTGAACTGTTTTTTATTTTCTTAGTTATGTATCTTGTAATGGGTTGTAATGGCACATTGTTTATTGAATTAATGAATCTGAACTTGCTTCTTATGCCTTCCTTCTTTGACAATGTAATTCTTATGTTATTTCCCCTGATGGATGTAAACTTGGGTAAACATTATAGGTACAATGTCATAAGAATCCAATATCAGTAGTTACATAATTATCAGTAGGGGCCTGGGGCCAATTTTCAGTGTCAGACTTGGACATGAATCCAATATTTTATTGGACAACCAGACTTGGTCTTTAACAACCAGACTTGGACGTGGGTGTAAACCTGGCTATCAAATGCAGTGATAGTACTCACAGGGTCAGTAGCTAGAACATCAAGAGATGTTAAAACTTGTGCATCAACGGGTGGCTCATGAATCACAGAGGCAAATACATCAACATAGGAAATAGCATTAGTATCAAGAACATTATAGTCATCAACTGAGGTAAGAACATTATAGGTACAATGTACCAAAAAACAATGTTGGCTACCATTGTGATGCAAAAAACCAAACTTGGACACATTACAAGACCACCAATACTGACACTTGTTCATATTACGTGTCATGAATTACACATGTAGATTACATCACATCTAAACTAAACTTCCAACATCCAGCCTCTATCACTTCATTGACCTCCCTCTCCTCCATCTCCATGGTAGCCTCCTGTTACAATTGTTTCTCCTATTTGTCCAGGCTGCATTTAGGCAAAAAAAAATACAAAGTTCTAAATTATACATTTGAATATGTAAACATTAGACTTCAAATAATGTTGGGATAAACTTACTTCCAAAATGGTCATCCTTGTTGATTCATCAAAATAAACACCAAATCCCCTTGACTACCCCTCCTCTTACCTCCACCCCTCTTACCTTCCCCCCTTTTACTCCATGCCCTCTTTCCTCATCCCCTCTTTCCTCCTCCACTATGAATATTGCCCCCCTCCTCTGTCCCAGTTCCAACACTACCCACATGATCACCTACCACACTTTCAAGACTTCCCATGTAACCTCTACCCCTTTGAACATTCCCTCTTCCTCCCCTATTTGTTCTACCCCTTTTACCTCTTCCAGTTTCAGCACTCCTATTTTCCCCTTGCTCCTCTTGTGTGCCATTTTCTTCTGTGTTGGGTATTTGCCTTTGTGAACATGATTTCTTGTTGTGGCCATCCACACCACATACAGAGCATTTCATGATCCTTCCTTTTCTTGGTAGGTGGGTCCCTGATGGTGCACGAGGTTCACTTGCTTCCTTCACTCTTTTCTTCTTAGGGCGGCCACTCATTTTCTTTGGTATGGGCGGATGAATGTCTTCATGTTGGGTTCTTGGCCACATTATTTGTCCATTTATTGGCTGCAGAGTGTATGAGTATGTCTTTTCATATAGTTCCTTGGAGTAGCATGAGTCCACATAGCTTTCAGGGTCCTCACCTTTATCTAGAATGGCACAAATGGCATGTGCATAAGGAATTCCACATAGGCCTGGGATTTTGGAACCGGGAACCGGAAAATTGACCGGAACCGAACCGATATCTCTCGGTTCGGTTCGGTTCCTAATTATTTGGTCAAAAAAATTATCGGTTCGGTTCTTTGGGGATAATTTCGGTTCGGTTCCCGGTTTTTAAAAAAAATAGGCTTTGGAACCGATATAGAACCGGTATCCACTTTTCCATAGATACTACGTATTAGTTGCTCCGTATTATTTATTTTTTTGAATATACATAGTATACTGCCGTACTGGTATTAGTTATACCGAGTAATTAAAAACATATACGGAGTACATAAAAATATTATTGCTCAGTCTTCACAAGACACGATTGAGAGGGAGGAGTGGAAAACCCTAGCATCTTCGATCAAGCACTCCAAGCAGATGAACTCATCGGTAATCTTCTCTTTCAGCTCCCCACTGATTTTTATCGTCCTGTTTCCGAATCCTCGGTAGGCTCATGTTGTTTTACATTTTATTCCCTAACGCGAAATTCTTCTTTCAGATTGCTACGGCTCTTCTCCTGCGAGTTTCTTCTTCCAAATTCTTTGGCTTCTCCTCCTTGTTAATCACTTTTACTTCTATCAAACAACTCGCGCTCGTCTCCCACTTCTCAGTCTAAGGTACGTGCTCAGATCTCCAACATAAAAAACAACTAGTTTCCAGTTTTCTTCTTTTCGTTTTTAGTGTGTAATGTAAAGATTTTTTAATTGGAAGCTGATTCCATTTCTGTCTGTTTATATTCCATTTACTGCTGCTAACGATGTATGACATTAACATGTCATTTTATATTTACATGAAAAAGGGGAATTTTTAATAAAAAATAATCAAAATGAACACTAACTGCTGACCATTTCAAGTGTTAGTGCTCTGATTATTTATAATGAATTGTAGATTTGGCTGTTTAGTCTTCCGTTTCTGCCTATTGGCTATCCTTGAGTAATTTATAAATGTAATTATTTTGTGCTTTCTTGTTCTAGTCAGCTTGTGTTCATGTTGGTTATCTGCTTTCCCGTTCTAGTGCTCCCTCTTGTGTCTGTTAACCATCCCTTGAAGAGCAAACAAGCTCTGTATGTGAATTCATTGTTTCAAGCTATCTAATTTCTTTACTTCTCTTTCAAAGTTTCAGAATCAAACCATTATCTTCTATCCAAAATGTCCAGGATCCCAACAAAACAACTCAAATGACAGAAGGCCAAAGTTGATTTTGTTCTAGAAATAAGTTAAACATTGGATTATATGGAACTCCATACACTGTATTTAATATTGCACTTCACTATTTCGGTTGATTAATTTGATTATGATTGTGTAATTGTTTTTTATGTGTTTATTATAGATCAAATGGATAGCAGTTCTACCAAATCTAATGCACTTCAATCAAATGAGGCACCAAAAGTGAAGTCAAAAAAGAGGAAGAGGAATGAAGCTAAGGTGGAAAGAAAAAAGCGTTCTTGGGTATGGGCACACTACACCACAGAAAAAAAAGCCTTTGATGAAAGAGAATGAAAGTGGTGTAGAGGTACAAGTTGGTCATACTCAAATATCTACATGTACGTATTGCTCTACTGAAATTGCTTCTGATTCAACAAA